CCAGTTGCGCCAGCGAGCAGCCAACTTCTTTAGCTACTTCAGCTAACTTGTCTGCCTTAGCAACCTTTTCATCCAAACCATTAGATAGCAGCTGTTTATATTCTGGCATAGATAGACGCGACCCCTCTGGAATGCCCTTGCTGTACTTGCCTGTTAGAATGCCGGACGACAACGGCGACCACGTGGTGAGGCCGTAGTTATACTTTTTGTACAGCACGTCAAAGTCGTACTCGACACGCGACCGCTCTAGAATGTTGTACTGGGGCTGGTCGTACACAGGACGAATTAGACCAAGGCGATCAGCAATCTCGCATGCCTCAATGATGTCTTTAGCGCACCATTCACTGGTTCCCCAGTAGAAGGCCCAACCCTGATCAATTACAAAGTTCATAGCACGCACGGTCTCCTCAATAGGCGTAGCAGGATCCGGGCGATGGCAAAACACGAGGTCCACATAGTCCAGATTAAAACGCTTCAACGATGCCTTCATGCCTTCTATGATGTGTTTACGGCTATTGCCCACGTCATTAGGTCCCGACTTGGTGCCAAAAAAGATCTTGGTGCTGATAACGAGATCTTCTCGCTCCCACAATTTGCGATCAATGCCGGCCTTGATCACCTTACCCATGATAATCTCCGATTGACCGTTAGCATACACTTCGGCGTTATCGAAGAAGTTGATACCGTTTTTGTAAGCATGCTCCATGATGCTGTAGGCTTTCTCAAAGTCCAGCTGTGAGTCAAAGGTCACCCAACTGCCAAATGACAAGCGGGAGACTAGTAAGCCGGTATTGCCCAGAAAACGATACTTCATGTTGTGCGTAGGGGCAGCCATGGTTCTTTCTTATATCTTTGGCTTTTGTTGTTGAGAGCGAATTGGATAATGATTGAAAATAGGTCTGAAAGGGTAGAAAATGCAAATGTTGCAAATATATGACTGGTCATTAATTGAAAATCAGGATATAGTAGCGATTGCTCATTGGATTTGACGATTCCTGGTCAAATTTACGTATGCAGTTGTGGGGCAAAGTCGTAGAGCGACGTTTCGACTCACAATAATCTCAACGCTCGTAGAATCCGAACGTTTGAAGTCAAAACAGAAAGAAGGGCGTCGTAATCATTACGAGGATTATGTTCCTTGAAGTAGGTATAAAGTTCTGATGAAATAAAAAGGGCTAGGCTCGAAATCTTTGCGAGATGTGTGTAATCAAAATATATACTTTCGGGTTACATTCTTCATTTAAGGAATGAATAAGTGGTCCATTTTTTTGATTGTAAGTGAAGATTCTTCTTGAAATGCAGTACCTGTAGCTCAATCGAGTCTGCTCTACTGATATAATCTACTAAATTATGAACAAAGCGAAGAGATCAGAGCAGGTTGAGCATGAGTTTAGAAACCATGTCTGTCTGACTGTCAGAAGGCTAAAGAGTGCAGTGCAACACGAGATATAATGATTGCTACGGTACAATGTGATGGTACTCATCAGGGGTACGTTTTGGTATATGTGGTCAAAGTATGTAGTAGATAACTACAGCATTACATGGTTATTGGATGTAAGAAACGGGAAACATATCGTTTCA